GGTATCACACTACAAGGGGCGCTAGCTAGTAGATATCACACTACAGGGGGCGCTAGCTAAGAGGTATCACACTACAGGGGGCGCTAGCTAGTAGATATCACACTACAGGAGGCGCTAGCTAGGAGGTATCACACTACAAGGGGCGCTAGCTAGTAGATATCACACTACAGGGGGCGCTAGCTAAGAGGTATCACACTACAGGGGGCGCTAGCTAGTAGATATCACACTACAGGTGGCGCTAGCTAGTAGATATCACACTACAGCTGGCGCTAGCTAGTAGATATCACACTACAGGGGGCACTAGCTAAAAGGTATCACACTACAGGGGCCGCTAGCTAGTAGATATCACACTACAGGTGGCGCTAGCTAGTAGATATCACACTACAGGGGGCACTAGCTAGGAGGTATCACACTACAGGAGGCGCTAGCTAGTAGATATCACACTACAGGGGGCGCTAGCTAGTAGATATCACACTACAGGGGGCGCTAGCTAGGAGATATCACACTACAGGGGGCGCTAGCTAGTAGATATCACACTACAGGAGGCGCTAGCTAGTAGGTATCACACTACAGGGGGCGCTAGCTAGGAGATATCACACTACAGGGGGCGCTAGCTAGGAGGTATCACACTACAGGGGGCGCTAGCTAAGAGATATCACACTACAGGGGGCATTAGCTAGGAGATATCACACTACAGGGGGCGCTCAGCGCCATTTGTAGTAAACCATGAACGACCGTCCACGTAAGGAGCGCTAGCAATAGGAGGTATCCACACTTAACGGAGGCCGCTAGCTTAGTTAAATTCACATTACAGGAGGGCACAAGCCAGTATATCACACTACAGGTGCCCCCCCGCGTCTAGCTAGCTACAGATAATCCCACTACAGGGGGCGACTATGCTAGTAGATATCACACTTTAACAGAGCGCATACCTAGTAAGAAGTACACACTAAAGGGGGCGCTCCCCACCGCATTGAATAGTAAACCATTAAACCGACCGTCCACGAAGGGGCCACGCCTCAGCTAGCTTAAATATCACACTAAACAGGGGCGCCGCTAAGCTTAGGAGATATCCCACTTACAGGGGCCGGCTAGCTAGTAGATATCAAATCACTAACAAAGGCGCCGCCTAAGCTAGGAGGGGTTATCACACTGACAGGAGTGCTACTAGTAAGAGTATCCCACTACAGAGGCGCTCAACCTCATTGTCGCACACACACACTTAACCACTTTCATCTCCAGGTCGATGTACTTCGGTCATTCGGCTCTCGGACGCTGCAGCTCGTCGGCATTGACGTTGGCCACCAGGTGGCTCTGTCCGAGCGGTCGTTCGGCGACGAATCCGGATGGAAGGTTCATCGTGACGACAGACATGCCGCTCTTACCGGGTTTCTTGTACCTGATGGTCAACCACACGATGTGTACAGCGCATTACTAATGCTTACAGTTGTATGAAAAGGAGAGGTAATGATCTCTCTCTCGCTGTCTGGTCCTCTCTGTCTCCTGCTCGATGTCTCTCTGTCTCTCTCTCTCTCTCTCCATCTACTCTCTCTCTCTGTCTCTGTCTCTCGCTCTCTCTCCGTCTTCTCTCCCTCCCTCTCTCTCTCTCTGCTCTTCTGCTCGTCTCTCGTTCTCTCTCTCTCTCTGTCTCCCTCTCTCTTTGGCTGCCTCACGTTGCCTGTGCTGTAGTGTAGCATATTTTACTGTGAGCACACTTGCACGTGCACGTTGCCTGTGCTGTAGTGAATGACATTTGACGTGAGATCGAATGCAGCTGCAGGTCCTTCGTCCTTCACGTTGTACGACCATTTCACCTGTCATGTGGCACAGTCAGCAGATTAGTAATATCCCTTACCTTACCTGACCTGCGTTAATCCCTACACAGTCATCATTTATCTGTACTGATTATCTACGTGCACTAAACCCATACCTGTACTAATCACATGAACGGAAAAAATTTTTCCCATCCCTTGTACCGTGTAGTAATGCAAATTACATGTACTAATCGTATACCTATACTTATTCATCACCTGTACTAATCGCCTACCTGTACTAAGGCTGAACCTGTTCCGGAAGGCACCACCTCCACCGCATCCGTTATCGGTAGCTGGAAAAAGGGAATCAGATGACAATCGTTAATCACGCACCTAATTAATTAACGAGCTGCCTTATGTAATTAACGAATGTGAATCATATACGAACCGTAAATCAATAACAAACCCGTCCTCATCAACCGAAGAAATCACACTCGCCATTTACCTCATTAATTTATCATTATCACTAAATAACTATTAATTAATAATTAATTATTCATTAATTAATCAATAATAGTTTAATTCCATCGGATTCCCTGTGTCCAGCAACCGTCATCGCTCACCTCTGCCATCTGGTAGACGAGCGCATTATCAGAGTCGACCTCAAATGACCTCGTGATGTCATCAGCGATGGCGGAGAGGATGAGATCCCGTGAGGGCACCCTTGGAGAGAAGGCCGATAGAAGCAACACTGTCGACGGAGAGGCCGTTGCAGGCCCGATGACAGTGTCCTGTAAACATCGAGAGAAAAACGCAGGGGGTTACAAAGTGTTACACGCATATGATGAAAGAGAGGGGGAAGGGGGAGAGAGAGAGAGGAGTGGAGGAAGAGAGAGAGACGAGAGAGAGAGAGAGAGAGAGAGAGAGAGAGGGGAAAGAGAGAGAGACAGAGAAGAGAGAGAGAAGAGAAAGAGAAGAGAGAGATATCAGAGATTAGCAGAGAGAGAGAAGAGAGGGAGAAAGAGAGAGAGGGAAGAGAGAGAGATGAGAGCAGAGAGAGAGGGAGAAAGAGAAGAGAGAGAGAGGAGAGAGGAAGAGAGAAGAGAGAGAGAGAGAGAGAGAGAGAGATAGAAAGAGAGAGAGAAGAGAGAGAGGAGAGAAAAAAAAAAGAGGAGGAAAGAAAAGAAGAGGAAGAGAAGAGAGAGACAGTGGAGAGAGAGAGAGAGGAGAGGACCAGAGAGAGAGATGAGAAAGAACAAGAGAGAGAGATACAGAGAATAGAACAGAGAGAGAGAGAAGAAGAGAGAGAGAGGGACGAGAGAGAAGCGAGGGAGAAGCAGCGAGAGAGAGAGAGAGAGAGAGGAGAAAAAGAGGAAGAGGGAAAGAGAGAGAGAGAGAGAGGAGAGGAGAGAGAGAGAGGGGAGAGAAGAGAGAGAAGAGAGAGAGAGAGGAGAGAGAGAGAGAGAGATGAAGAGAACAAGAGAGAGAGATACGATGATACAGAACAGCGAGAGACAAAGAGAGGATACAGAAGATACAGAGAAAACGAAAGGAGGCGGAGAGATGAAGGCTGCCCCACAGACTGCACGACTGGGTTGGAATGAAGAATCCACCAGAACGAGTTCTGTCTGCTTGATGAGCCACTCATGACGGCAGCCCCCGTTGAGGTCCCTCAGACCTGACGTAGGGTGAAGGCAGTGGCGTAGGCTGTCATCTTCCCACGTCCACCGACTGCTCCCCCACCGTGGCGGCGATGCCGACGATGCAGGGTCCGCTCACTCGGGGGCTGGCTTTCGTCAGTACTTCATGCCTCTGCACATGTGGTAACCAGGTTGTTCGTTACAGAAGGTTACGAGAGTGAAGCCAGAGAGGGAGGGATGAAGGAGGAGGGAAGGAGAGATAGGGGAGAGAGAGAGTGAAGTGTGAGAAGTGAGCAGTGAGAGTGAGAGTGAGAGTGAGAGAGAGAAGAGAAGAAGAGAGAGAGAGAGAGAGCGAGGAGAGAGAGAGAGAGAGAGAGAGGAGAGAGAGAGAGAGAGAGAGAGGAGAGAGAGAAGAGAGAGAGAGAGTAGAGAGAGGAGAGAGAAAACAGAGAGAGAGAGAGAGACAAGACAGGGAGCGAGGAGGGAAGGGTGGAACAAAGTGGAGCCAAAGGAGGGGAGGAAGGAGGGAGAGAAAGGAAGGGAAAGCCGGATCAACAGTCATCGCAAAACAAGAGAGCGTCTACGACGCGTACCTTTCTCTGTGGCGAGGGCCTCCAGCTTGGAGAGCGCCTGCAGGTGTATGGGAGCGTTGTTGATGACGAGAGCGTAGGTGGTGACGGCGAGCGAGTACGGGTCGTCCGCCATCACGTCCAGTTGTGACACGAGTCGCTTCTCTCCTCGCCGGATCGCATCGTCCAGCTTCACCTTCATCGACTGTCAACACAGACGATGACAATATAACTAACGATTGACAACACAGACGATGACGACATAACTAACGACTGTCAAGGCAGACGATGATAACATAACAGTCGTTAGTTATGTCGTCATCGTCTGTGTTGTCAGTCGTTAGTTATGTCGTCATCGTCTGTGTTGACAGTCGTTAGTTATGTTATCATCGTCTGCCTTGACAGTCGTTAGTTATGTCGTCATCGTCTGTGTTGTTTGTCATCGTCTGTGTTGTCAGTCGTTAGTTATGGGGGGTAGTGAAGCAGGGATGTAATTCTGACGTGGTGTGACCTGCGTGACCTCCTTCATCTACGCGTGTGTTTGTGTGTGTGTTACAGGGAGGAGCTGCCGGGGGAATCCCGCTCACTGCCTACACTCTCGTCTCTCTGTTGGAGAACAGGCGCAAGCTGTCGAGTGACGTAAGTGGCAGTAGCTGTCGCAACGCATTTGTCGTGTTTGTTCGTTTTTGAATGCAAGTGCGAAGTTTTGAATGAACGATGAATGACTGAACGGATGAACATGAATGAACCTGTTAGTTATGTCGCTGTCGTTGACAACCACTATATTCATCACCATCATCTTCTGCAGTCACAGTTGTTACTTATGTAGTTGTCGTTGACAACCGCTATATCCGTCATGGTCGTCTGCCTTGTCAGTCGTTAGTTATGTTGTCATCGTCTGCGTTGACAGTCGTTAGTTATGTTGTCATTGTCTGCATTGACAGTCGTTAGTTATGTTGTCATCGTCTGTGTTGACAGTCGTTAGTTATGTTGTCATCGTCTGCGTTGTCAGTCGTTAGTTATGTCGTCATCATCTGCGTTGACAGTCGTTAGTTATGTTGTCATTGTCTGCGTTGACAGTCGTTAGTTATCTGTCTCTAACTCATGGTACCTCCCTTCCT